ACCGAAACTTCTTATTACACTCCTCTGTCTCAGAGAAGAGGCGCGCCTATTAAGTTATTTTGGCTTATCACATGACTGAGCACGTACGTCGCCATCAAAAGAGGCTTTGAAATAACAAAAAACAAGAAATAAAAGGAACGTACGGTATAAAGAACAACTAATGATAATCTGCGCAAATGAAGGGAGTTACATACTTCAATGGCTTGAACAAGTAAATGATACTAGGATTGGACCCATCGTGACTGCGGGGAAACGATTAAGTTGTTATATAAGTATACGATTGAGATAATTTAAGCACATTGAGTGAGACTGGGAGCCATTAACGTTTGTTAAGCGGATGTAAATAGTACCAGCTCTATTAAGGAAGAAGTGACGTCTGCGTCCGCTGCGAGCTGCCGTAAAATTCAATTTTATCATAATTCCCTGGTGATAGACTGCATTAGTTGGAAGAAATCGCTGCACCAACGTGACCGTTACGTGAGCACGGATTTTTTGACCATTACGATGTCATTGACTTTCTTTCTCAGTGGAAGAGTTTTCAAGCCGAGAAGTTTATTATGAGGAGACGAGTCCGGCACTGTTGAAAAGGAAAAGCCAAAGCCAGATAACGAAAAATAGCTAAAAAATTGAGCACGAAACTGTTCTGAACCGCCTCAAGTTTCTAATGCAGAGGCGCTTAGACGGATTGAACACAGTAGTTCCGTACTCCAAAATAGGCCTAACATAAGTTTTGTAAGCGGCAAGCAGTATGTGGGATTAGTGGAGGAAAGGGCTTTGAACAGATTGATTAAGTCTTCGCTGACCAGCAGTTGCAATACCACAACGTTTGAAGATATCAAGTTTTTCGTTGACATGAAAGCCAAGGTCTGCCGTTGTCGATAATGGCTGGAGCTGGATACCATTCAGACTATAGGGAAAGCGCCCATTCATTAGGACCGATGTGAAACACATTAGTCTTCTCCGGGCAGAGAAAGGGCCCCTAATCCTCAGATCAACTATGCATAACATTGATTGCCTGACGAATTTTGGAAACCCATTCATCATCGTCAAGCTCATAAATTTGTATGTCAACCAACCTGGAGCCCCGGCTGCAGACGACCCAAAAGTTCGCGGTTGTCGGCCATATGTGTTGAAGCTTCAAGCATGTGTGTGTGTCTCAATGGACTTCCCCTAGATAAAACCATGTTGAGCGCGGGACACAACGGAGTGGGTATCGAGATGAAGTAAGTTGTGTTTCTTCATAATCTTTTCGAATACACGAAGAAATACTGATGCTAAAGCGACGAGAGTTCCGCGCACAGAAAGAAGTGGGGAGGCTTTCTAGGTATACGCACAACGAAGGAATGCTTCCATCGCATGGGACTCTGCGGTCATTAGGCTTGTGGGAACATAGTCAGGTGTTATCGACATTGAGGGGAGTCCAACGTGAAATATTTGTTCAATATCTTCCTTCATAATACCACAGCGAGGAGGGCATTACAGGAAAGCTTGATTCGAAACGGACATTCATAATTTCGTAGGCAGGGAGTACACACTTGCAAAATGTTCGGCGAAAACATCTGCTTCTTTTTGATATGAAACCGCAAAACCCTTTGCATGTACTTTTGATCCTGAGTGCACCATGTCCTTTAGCCTGGAATAAATGAGCTTGTAAAACGAAGACGTGTTTTGATTCTAAGATCTTTTTCTCAAACCGAGGCATTGTATTTTTTTAACCGCTTGATAAACCTATCATTACATGCCTTATATGACCCCCTGTTCTGATGGTAACCGTGGCGGCGGCAGATTTCCAAGCTATAGCGCGGCGGGTCTAATGAAACCAGGTAATGAGGAAGCACTGAGTTGGACGGGAGAATTTTACGAACGGACGTAAACGCAGTAGAGATTGATCAAATCTAACGGTCGACTTCGATGATTTTATTAAAACCGCAAATTTTGCCTAGCAATGGGGCAATGTCATTAGACTGTTTGAGCCAAATCTCGACGATTGCCGCTACAGAAAAGGAGGGCCCGAAGATGGACTCAGGATGAAACTTAAAAGCAGCTGCATTTTTAAGTAGCAAGCGAGCATTCGTTAAGGTGAAAAACAGGGTTTGAATGTCCTAAACTAGGACATGGGTGATCGGCGGCACTCTGATGACTGAATAAGCTTTGCAATGTTACAGTGTGAGCTGAAACTTCATTTAAGGAGCACTTTGTTGAAGAGAAGTTATGTTGGCCCGCCGTTGGACTCGCTCTTCCCACGTCAAAGAAGGCCTGATAAAGACACCTTTAACTGGGAAAACGCGAAGCCGTGGTGCCCGCTCCAATAGCAATGATTGGAATTCCCTGGTAGCAAGAACAATCTTAAGTAAACGAGGAGCGCCATGACGGGATGTTCCATTCTATAACAAGCCACGAGCATACATACTCATACTACATACTCAAGGGAGCGAAACATTTTCTTCACACAATCAATATCGTAGTTTAGACGATGAATAACATCACTACCGATGGACTCAGCAATTCCACTTACTACGGCTTTGATTCGGCCTAACAATAAATCCGCCTTCTCGATAAGCACTAGACGTGCCTTCGAAGCGAAGAACCGGTCCGTGAGGATAATCATCAGGGAAAAAACGGCTTTCCGGAGAGCTGTCCTATTTACAAGCTCTTGTTTGAAGAAGCTGACGACCTAACAGATGCATTCATAACAGTCTGCCGCTTTGATACTTTGGGAACGTTTGCAATCGAAATATTCTTCTTCTGAGCTTCTTGGAGCCCGTGATCAGAGTTTCTGGCTTGTGAAGCTCAGATACGGTCGATGGTGAACTAAAACAAGAAAGTTGGCGCCAATGCCCAAATAAAAGCGATGGGCAGGCAATGAAAGGAACCACGGTGTGGTGCCCTCGTCACTTCGCTTTTGCACTGTGAAAGTGATGTACCGCTACCACCGCAGACCAAGCTACTTGCTTGGGGAGAAAAGATGTGTAGAGCTCAGTACATCCAATGGCGGAGCATGCCTCGAAGAACGCACTTCTGGCCAATCGCATAAGTGAACTCATGCCCATCGCTTTACCATCTTTCTTAGCACGCCCCTACACTTCGCTGTACTAGAATTGGCTTGACTCCGCCGATACGGTCAGCGTGAACGGTTGCTCTGACCACTCCACCACCACGGACAATAAATGAATTGGCATCACTTCTTAAATACATGTAAAATGTGTACAATTGTACTACAATAAGCATGAATGAACCTCGTGGCAGGTATTTTATCGAAGAGGCTGATCCCTCGTCCAGTGGATGCCGATGTGCTTGTTCTGTTAGAACCAAGTCTCATCAGCGCCACATCTCGTAGCATTTGGTGGACGTCAAAGTTACTGAAACATTGCGATAAAAACTTGTAGCAGCAAAACTTTCCGAGGGATTCAAGATCTTTCTCTGTAGAGACTCTACTGCTCAGTACCTAGTGAACTTCCATTTGTTTTCCAGAAAATTGGAATACTCGTCCGGATACTTCGTTTTGAAGTCTGTCGGCAGACGAATGGCCATAAGTGGCATTCGTTCTTCTATAGTGCCGGTATACGAATATCGCACCAGGCCAATTCGGTTGCCATGATCACCCATTATTATGCTAACTGTGTTGTCAAGAGCACCTAAAATTAATTGGCGTATGGCAGAATAACTGATATACCGGTTAGCATTCTTTCAACTTTCGGAGAAAATTTTTAAGTGTCTTACTATTAGACCCTAAAACGAGCTGCTGTTAACATTTCTGCATTGAAATTGCATTGAAAGCCCTCTGGAGACATGTTCGGCGAGTATCTGCAGGACAGTAGAACACCTCCGCTTGTCAGTTACACTCGAAATCCCTGAGATCGGGTGGGCGTGGCCGCATGTTTCAACTTAACCTGAAGGTGTCTATGCTTCTGGTGAGATATTTTCATCTTGACACAATTGTTGTCGTGTCTCTGTCCAACACAGAACAAGACAGTTGTCCCAGACTGGAATATTCCACGAGTAACCAATTCCGTGCCATGTTCAAATGCCACGCCTACTCTGGCTCAGGGATGAGGAGGGTAGCCAGGTCCACAGTCGCAGAACGTTTGCTACTTCCGTTGCTTGAAAGTCCGAGGTAAGCTAGCCACTGTGTAGCTCGACTTGTGGCTACTCTCTATCCTGCTATATTACTTCTTTTCAACTTCAGAATAAGATAGGCGAGTGGTTCAAAAATACATCATGGACAATTGTACTCTATTGCAGCTTGAGTGCAATCATAAACGAATGAACAAAAACAAGCGCCTTTTGCTCGAGGGTCCAGACTTCATGATGGGGCGTGTCGAGGCGGCTGTGTTGCCTTACTGTGATACGACTATTCGAGACAGTTCCCGCAATCAAGTGGTCCCCGAAAATACCTCTGTGCATTCGGCATCGCTGTACGCACTCACGAGACTATACCACTTTCGTCATGTGGAACGGCGAGATAAAGAAGCTAGAGACGCGTGATTATTGCAACCATTGCAACCACGATTACTTTCACTCTGCAAGACAACGGCTTACAAGCGGAATTGCGTGTGTACATAGCGTTGCCTGGAGCGTCGTAGGGTGATTTCCTGTGCTCTTGCGGGAATCGTTGCACGTCGAATCCTGCTGATTGGGGTTACCGACGTCCGATAAATTTGTCCAAGGTGCAGGGCCCACTGCTATGTGGGTATCTGTTCAGTGTTCTCAGGTTTTTACGCTTCTTCTTCTCTGGGGTTTTAATTATGGGACAGTGGTTCATGACTTAGCACCTACTGCCCGGAACATTTGATCGAGGGAATTGTCTTTAACGTTCTAATGCTATAGACGGTGACGCAGTCACAGACGGGTATGGGTCAGTACCAGACTGGCAATACCAGAATGGCAGACCGAGTGGTTACGCATTACCTACCCACCTATTCTGTTATACTCCAGAACATAAACAGCCGCCGGCGCCGGTTTCTTATAGATGCGCTATCATCTAAACACTGAAGCGTCATGGCAATGATAGGGCGCAGACAAGCAGCGTGTGTGACTGGCAAGGGAGGTCTTTCAGGTCATGGCGCGCTTTTTAGAAATGGTTTGTTGCATGTTGTAGGGGTCCATATAAGGGTCACAAAAATGGGTTTCGTTTTTGCTATGCGTTTATGGGAATGCCAAAAAATGAGTGAAAACAATTTGACAAGAAAGGGCGATTTTAACCGGCTTATTGGGCTCTGTTGTAGCTGCAAATTTGAGAGTGCATAGTTTATGAGGTGTTCCTTAACTATGTATCGAAAAGAGAGCAAAATAAAGTCAAAAGAAAGTGCATGGAGAAAAGTAGTACCGAAGTTACTTTAACGATTCCCGCAATTTGTGGATCGGATCTTCCTGGCGACAAACTTTTTGCATTTTTCGATTTCCGTCTCCTTGTGTTCCTGCGTGCGTGATGATGTATATAACATGGATATATGCCATTTAAGACCTCATTCTGTACACTCATAGTTCACGAGTCGACCCTACTTAACTATTGCGCTCTCGAAACATTACTGAGGAAACTCTTGCTGAAAGTTGGGCTACGGGGATGACTGGATGCCCACGAGTACGACACTCATTTTTGACCACGGCGCAACCTATCGCCGATTTGCTGCAAGAGCATTCTTGCACTGAAATCGTTGTCAACCCGCACGCAGGGGCTGTTAAGCGCCATGCTGGCGTCAAATGGCCTCGGCGCATAAAATAAGTGTCAGAATCGAGAGTGGGCTACCAATCACTCCAATCACTTGGCTTGCATGCTAGGGTCTCGTTCGTCACTCGGAACAAGAAAATCCGGCAAAGTTTATTCCGAATGATCAGCAATACCCTAGCATGCAAGCCAAGGCTCTATACTGCCGATTTGCACCATTTTGAAAAGTGGGCGGAGCTTCTTCAAAGTGGGCGGAGCCTCACGCAGCAGCCCTAAAATGCAAAATTTTTGAAAAATATCGAAAGTCCGCGAAAAGCAAGTGGGCGTGGTCAGCCTAGATTGCCAAACCCTTTAGAGAATGGGCGGAGTCGGCCATGTGTCAATGCACGGTGGTTTCCAGTCAAAGTGTTTGTGGGAAACAGCAAAAGCAGAAGTTATGAAACAAGATTTGAGAATCTATGTCCGCGCTGACAAGTGGGCGTGGCCGTCGGGGCGGGGCTCGCAGTGATGTCTGGCGTGATCTGGTTGATGAGTTGCCCGCCCTAATAAGTGTGGTTAATTTGATGTGAAAAGTGAGGGTGAATTTGGTTTGAAAAGGGGTGAATTTGGTTTGAAAAAGGCACGACAACAGTTGTGCCAAGATGGAAATATTC